TGAAAACAAATTAGCCATTAATTTTCGGTCCAATTCTTCTTCAAACTCTAAGGCCAATTGTCCTACGTCAACTAAACTTCTAAAAACAAATTAGCCATCAATTCCATAAAATGGGTAATTGGCCTGCCGTTCAATGAAAATTAAAATTATTGTTGATTAGGCCAACTGAAGAGTTCTTAATAAAAGTTCTTTGTTTTTTTTTTTTGGACATCCAAACATGACAAAGACAACACTAAAAGAACAGATAACTAACCAATTTTCTTCCCATATTCGTTCACTGACATTCCATCAGATGGATAAATAAGAAGGAATAAGCATTCAGAAAACAAAAAATAGTGAAGGAATAAGTGTTGAGAACTCTAGACATTTTAACTGGAAAATATTTACCTTGTAATTGGGAGCCCTTTTCGGAAGATCTTTTAGCAACAATGGATGAGATGTTTCGACCTCCACATATTAATAAATCACAAGTAAATACGAAGAAAATCAAGTTAAATGGTTTTTATGAAAGAAACAGAAAATTGTCACATTTAGAAATTATTTTAATTATTTCATGTATGATCAAGGGTGTTGAACATTTATTAATTCAACACCCTCCATTAAGGAGTATTCAAGCAATCCCACCTTGAGTCCTGCCCTGGATTGATTCACAAGAGATGGTTTTACCAGTAGTTTCTCAAGAAGTTTAGGAACTCGGTCTTCCATTACGCGCTGCACAATGGCCCAAAAAACCCAATCAATCTTTTTACCCTCCAAAATACGCTATTCAAGTTAATGCTGTAGAAGGAAGCTAACATGGAAAACTTTATTAGCTTCCCTCTTCTTTTTTTTTCCATAAAAAACAAAGATTATAGTTTTCTAGTTCAAAGGATGTTACAAGGTATCAATATTCCAGAGATAGATTAAATTTAATAGTGAACCACATCATCTTTGGGATTTAAGAAAACAAAATTATCCACCAAGTTCACAGTAGCTTGTGGAACCCAACTACTGGACGGTCAAGTAGTACCAGCAAGCAAAAAGATAGGTAAATACAATGAATAGGCTATGTTTGGAAAATAATCCTTGACCTAAATAAACATAACAATCAGTAAAATTTACAACATTCTAGTAAAATTTGCAACATCCTTATGTGGTTGAAAATTGATTTGCGAAAATAGAAGATGTTTTATATCGCTTGGTGACAAATCAAGAAATTCACAAGGACATAAAGAAGTGAAACTGTCTCATGCCAAAGATATCATGGTCTTGCCTATGTTTTCGTAGAAGTTCGCCCAGGAATCTGCAAAAACAGATTTAAATGATTATATTTATCTGAAAGCGTATTCTACAAAAGATATTCAAATATTAGTCACCAACTCACTTTGATCTATGGATTGCACTGCCATTTGATGATAATTTGTTACTCCTCCAACGAAATCAAGCAAAATATTTCCAATGCTAGATCCAACTGTACTTTTTCATCGAAAGTTCAAAATATCCTATATTTAGTAACAGAACTCTGCGTTAGATCATGAAGCCAATTTGTAAACAAAAACTTTCAAGATCACAGTAAACTTGGGATTGTTAAGAACACTAAGAGTTCAGCAGATGATAAGCAGAACGATATCAAAGGATACAAGAAGTTCCAAATCCACCTGAGGATTATATTTGATGATTGTCATAACAACTTGAATTATGCTGCAATTAAAGATGGAATGTAAGAGGTTAAGAGGAAACTGAGGATGAAGAAGCATAGTTCAAAACAAAGCAAAGTACTTGTCTGTTTCTGTAATTAACTTCATAGGCACATATTAAATAGAATAAGTTGGTCCATTATTTCCCCTAGGCAGTTTCTTTCATTAGCCAAGAATACTAAGGCTACTAAGGCAGGTAATGCTCATCTCAGTACTGTTTACATAAATCTTATGAGAAGTCCACAGATTCAAAAATTGCTATAGATTTGTACACTGATTCAAGGGACAATATCTTACCTGAAGCAGTTTACCAGCCATGACCAAGAGTGCGCAGAGCTATGAAAACACAAATGGCAGCTGATAATCAGGCCACGGAAACAATTGCAATACAAATTTTTGAAAACTTTTGATTTCCACGATGCAAAAATGATTCACAAAGGTTTCAAAATGCAAATTTAAAATAAAATAAAATAAAATTAAGATGTCATTAAGATGTAAATTAATTAACCCATATTGTTCGGATTTAAAATGTAGTAATTTAACTATACAGGTTATGCTTCTTTGGTATTAGAGCTTTACGCAAAAACCATAGTATGGTTGGCAAAGATTAAAAAGTTCAGTTCTAAGTAAATAAATTATTTCAAGATAAGTAATCATTTTTATCAAAGTGACTTTTTTAATTAAAAGTAACAAAAACGTGAAACAGTGAGAAAAATTTAGTTACCCACGTCATAAATTACAACTTGGAACAAGGTGAAAGCAGTCAAGAGAACAGCATGAATGGAGAAAGCTACATCATTGGCAGCCACAGGTATCATCTGCAATAAAACAACCACAAGAAAATAAATACATGCATCAAATAACCAAAAAATTGAAACCCTAGATCAAACTGATCCCAAGAATTAAATAAACGACCACATAATTCATCATTGAAGCTAAGGAAAAATCAAATATAAATTCAATAATAGGATATGTTTCGAAGTACCTCATTGAGGCCAAATTTTTGGTGGTACTGCCTCTGCACGGAGGAGCTAAAGTAGAGGGACGCGTTGTAGATGAGATAGGACGATTGCTTCGTCAAATTCAGGAGCAGAAAATCAAAACAGAATTATTAAATCGAAGTTTGCCCTTATCAAAACAGAATTTCTTACCCGTAAAACCTTTTAATCCTGGCAATGCAAGCAACTTTGGCAACATTATACTATAACATGACACGTTATTCAGGCATAAATTTGTCGATAACGAGGAGTTAAGCAACAAACTTGGCAATGTCAGTGGCGAATCCTCATCAGCGGAAGCCTGGATTCTCAAATGTTCCAAACAGAAACCTGACATAGTCTCTAGCTAATGCAACGACATCCGCACCATCATTGATGTAAATGTACTGAAACAAATAAATTACACCACAACAAATTAGGTATAAACAATTGAATAACTTGAATTCAAAGTACTGTAAATGTAAATCAATACTTCCCTCTCGATTTAAAATGATTGGGACCAATAGTAGATGTATTAGGGCTCAGATCAAAAAACCCCCCAAAATCATGAAGCAACTCCACACAAATTGGACCAAGAATCTCACTTCAAACCATGAAAGAAACATCCAAGAATCACAAAGAAACTGTAGATATGGGGAAAGGGTGCTTCGATTGAGTGCAGAAATGGGGAAAGTCAGAAAATGGAGCAAACGATTTTTTTTTTAAGAAGATTTGAAGAGGTTCTTTACCTTTGGAAAAACAGGTATGGACGGCCGCACAGACAGACTCGGATGTCGGGGAGCCGATGCCGGTGTCATTGTGGCGCTGAGGGACAGCAGGCTTGGGGACGATCGGAGTGGTGGTGGCAGACGCTGGACATTTTTCCTCTCCTCTCGCAATAGGGTTTCTTCGTTTCACGACTGGGCAAATGGATAGAGGAAGCAGACGAGGTCGTGTCGGGATTTTTTTTTTTTTTTTTAATGCCAAAACGGCGTCGTTTCAGAGGACGAAATTGTGAACAGTGTTTTCAAAAGTGGCTCTTTTATTGTATAGGGATAGGGATATGATGCAAGTGAATTTAAGGTTTTAACCTTACATTGGATGGACCTGCCAAGCAGTGGTGTATAAAGCTAAAATTAGGATCAATCACGAGTTGGCCACAGTTGAAACATGCCTTCCTAGGGACATTTGCAGGTAGGATGAGATAAGCCTTAGCTATAAGGCTAAACGACACGAGGCAAAAGGAAGGTGAGTCTCTTAAGAGCAATTTTGTGCGATTCATTGCCGAGCTGATCACTTGTGAGATTATGCCGGATGAAAAGGCTCGAACGCCCTA